TTACTGAGCTTTATTTCTAGTTGGATGCATTTCATAAAGCTCAGAATGGAAAAGTGTTTCTGTCTAAAATTCTAAAAATCATCGCATATTCAATTATATAAACTTCAACGTTAGCTATGTTTTATCACCACTCACATTTATAATGGTAATGAGGTATGTACAGAAAAAATTCACAAACAATATGGTTAAATGTAACTGAATGAAGAGTAAACTTAAGATGACGAAACATGATAGATAACTTTCTACGTCAGGAAGCAATAAGTCAGTCAAAATCAACATAGGGGACCTGGGAGTACTGTGAAACGGCTCATAATAATACAACTCATACAGGCGCATAGAACATGAAATGATAAGATGAAATACTGAAACATGGAGATCAAAGTCGTAAGAAGCTATGAAGGAAAGCAGAGGATTGAAGCAAATGATACAGCGTGATGCAACGGTAATGAGCGGTCCATATCAACAGTCAGGACTTTCATAAACTGATATTGCGTTTTAGTTTGACCACCTTTCACCTTTGTCAAGCTTAATCCTACTTTAGTAAACATCGCGTATCAGATTAAGTGGTGACTGAAAATGAGTAAGGAGGCAGTAGAGTGCAGAGTGGTGTATTGTATTCCGTGGAAAGGAAACCCAGCAGCATAAAAACTCCAAAAACTGTGTTTAACTGAAGACTGTGACATTTTTCATAAGTACAAGAAGGAAGGGAAATAAAACGACAGGGAAATTTAAATGATTAAAATTAGCTACGAATAGGAATATGAATGAAGGATGGAGAAAAAGCAAAATCAAGCAGTCAAGCTTTAGGAAGAAACAGATGATTTCAGCGAAGATATATTTCTCTTTTCAATGATATCATTTCCTTAGCTGTACATTCGTGAATATATAGACGGCGTGGCAACGGAATCGTCATTAGAACCGACACCTTCTAGTTAACTGCTTTATAGCAAGCCTGGAAAGCATGACCTTATGAAAAATAATAAGTGAGCTTCATATCTACAAAAAATATGTGGATGATGCCTTTTTTATTTGTGACGAGAATACGAATCTTGAAAACCTGCTTCAAACTTTCAATGGTGCTTATCCCTTTATCGAATTCACTCTAGAAACAGAGTTGAACTCGAAATTCCACTTCATTAACGTTCCGCTTCAAAGAAAATATGACAGTTCAACCCAAAGATCTACTACCTGAAGCGGGCAGTTCATTAATTTTCAAAGCTGTGTACGTCCTTAAGCAGAAAGAGGAATCTTATCAATTTGTTCTTCTCAAGAATACGAGGAATATGCACAGAGGATACCATCTATGATGAACTACAAAACTTGGGAGAAATCCTGATGAAAACTGGATACTCACTGAAATTTAAAGATAAGAATCAAAAACCGAAAAACGCCATAGAACGCATGCATACTACTCCGAAGAAGATTAAGCTGTTGGACCTCGAATTCAAGGGAGACAAGGCGGAAGATATACTTAGAAAGAAACTATCAAAGTCTATAAACAGAACATTCCTCGCAGACAACCTTAGAATCATATTCTCCTACCAGAAACTCATCCGCCAGTACGCAGTGGGACGGAGTGCATCAGTCGTACCATGCGCCAGCTTATACAACGCGCTTAAGAATACTATCCAACTTGGTTGACAGTGGGGACGACGAAAATGCATCCTTAGCTCTGTAACAGAACACAGTAAACTTGGCTCCATTTGATAAGTCCTTTAAAATTCTGTACGAAGTGCAATAAAGCCACTTGAAAGAAGTGAGGCTAAGACATTCAGACTTAGCTGAAGGATTAGCGATTCAAAAGTTCACATCATCACTATCCGTTCAAAAGAAGAGTGCACAACTTCTTTCTTTACCATGGCCATCACAGATTATCAATCACTTTGGACAACTCCTATATGGCATAACTGTTTTTATTTTGTAATCATTTTGCGTATCGCCTCCTTGCGTAACTTCCCTTTGTGACTCAATTCTTATTGTTCTTTGGTCGGAAATTACTCCGGAGTATTTTATCCCTTTTGTTCAGCTAAGATAATGACTGTATCGAAAAGGAAATTTTTTCTTCCTTGCGATCGCTTTCAGTATTTTTCTGTAATCAAACTGGATTGTTTCGATACCTCAAGAGAAGATAAAAATTGGATTAATTTATCCCATTGTGATTATTTTTCATCCGTTTTACTGATATTGTCCAACAATTGATTCATTAGAATGTAGATCACAATGATGAAACCTAAAATCTTAATTTGGACAAGATCTAGTGCTTAAAACTGTCCTTCTACGATGTAAAACATATTTCCATATTTATACTACGACAACATTTAGTAAACCAACAAACATTGAACAGTATGAGCATGGAGCATTCATCATAGAACAAAAATGTATATCTCAGCAAACCTAGTGCAGGTTCATACACTAGACGATGAACCAGATATCTATTGTAGGAGGGTTAGTGATACTGACCTCACCTAGTTTACTAGTTCACTAGTTGTCTAGCCGGTTCTAAACTCGGATAAAGAAGGAAGGTTGGGCATAGGGCTAGCAACCCTACCCCGGAAAACCAATTCAATCGCTAATGAAACTTCAAAGCACAGAGGAAATATAAAAATAAATTTATTCCTCGCTGAAATCTGGGAGACGAAATGACGCCGGTTGGTGAAAGCCTTCGGGAAGCCGATAGGTCTTCTCTCGGTGAAATCAAAAGTAAACATAGAGACATGGTATGTCCACGCGATGTTTGAAGCTGGCAAGGCAAATATATGCAGAAGAAAGTAGAGATGGATTGGATTGCACATACACTGAGAACACCGTTTGGGGACATCACGCACCAGCCCCGACCAGACCGTCGAGTGGAATCCAAAGGGGAAACGAAAAGTTGGGTGTCCGAGGGTGGAATGTAGGAGATCGTGTGGGGGAAGAAATGAAAGTTTATGGAGCTAGGTTAAGAAGACTGCAGAGAACAGGGTGGAATGGAGACGTGCTACTAAAGCCCTATGTTCTAATAGGAACACAAAGGACAAATAATAACAATAATAATAATGATCGATTGCACAAATTTTGGTATATAAAGTGAGGTTTGAACCAGAGATCTACTGACTAAAATTCAGTTACCTAGACTGATCAGTAACAACTCCACAAAAGACGATTGAACTATCATTCTCATCTTCAGCTGCAAACTTTTTGAATCATAAGAAAAAAGTGATATCAAAGTAGACAAAGTGGTGTAAGAGAATAAGCAATTCGAAGACAAAGGTTAGTGCAAACATTCAAGGAGTGAACACATCTGCGCCAATACGACCGATTTTAAGTCATGTTACCTAGACCGCTTAACCACTAATTTAAGGGAGTTGTGGGGATCTGGAAATATTTCAAGTTTTTATTCATCGTAGACTGATATCAGTTAGAGGAAACCTGGGAGCACTGGACAGATGTTTCATCTTAGTATGGGACTCCTCAACAGTGCGCACACACAACCTCACCAGGGATCGAACCCGCGACCTTCAGATTCCGTGGCCAGCCTGATGATCGTGAGGACAGTTACTCAACGATGACATTGGATGGCGGTTGCGCTATATCGTGAGTTAACAGAAGTTGGAAATATGGACCACTGGATTCTGACCCAGTGGCTCAGTGGTAAGGTGCTGGCCACGGAACCTGAAGGTCGTGGGTATGCACTGCTGAGGAGTCCCATACTAGGACGAAACAGCTGTCCAGTGCTCCTAGGTTTCCTTTGTTCCTCCAACTGATGTCGGTCTACGATGAATAACAACTTTAAATAAACACTAATTCCTATTGTCCCGGAGACTCCAGCCAGACGGAGATAAATGAGTAATTAGAGGAATCCTTTCACCAATCAGTGGAAATGAATCGACAGACCGGTCAAACAGACAAAATCAATGTAGAACTTCGCACATAAGTGCATCGGTCCAAGTTGTTACACTTCACAGTATAGTATACAAAGAAGAAGTTAATAGAAAAAGACTAATATCGAAGTAGACATGGCTGTATGAGAGAAGAAACAATCTGAAGATGATGGTTATTCAAGCTTTAGAAGATGTCAAGAAGTGAATAGAAATAAACTAATGATTGTGAGTATTTAACATTTTCATTGGATCAAGTCTAACGATAATGTCCACAGAGCTACTAAGTTTAGAGATGAATTCTTACCGAGACACCATTTGAATTATGAAATGATGACTGCATAAATCATCGTTTTAAGCAAGTAAAACATCGTATTACATACATGAAAATGAACAATAAAATCAAGCATATTCACCATCATCATCGTGAGGTGAAGTGGAATTTTGAAATAATAGAGAATATTTGTAGCTCAGGTGGTTGGTCTTGGTTGTATTATGTTCTCTGAGCTGGGTTGTTTAATCATGAAGCTTTCATGGTCTTTCTACACGACATCATCAGCAGTAACTTTAGTATGAAGTGAGCTACCAATATCTCTACGTGAGTGATTTAGTGGCTTACTCTGACGATATGGTCTGTGATTGGTTGTTTCCTTCGATTGTTGTGGAATTTTAAAAATACGAAATAAAACAAAACCAAACAAATTACTATAATTAATATTCAGGCAATATTGAGGCATTCGCATAGAAGTCGAACAATTCGAATCAACAAGACAACGGAGAATTACAAGTATGTCAGTAAATGGTAATAACTAATACCCAAGGTGCAAGAAGTAGCTACCATGCTTGAGCTGCCCAATGGATAAAGATTTGGTGTTTGAGGCGATGGGTATAAGGTTCGAGTCTCAGTGGGAACAGAACCTTTTACTGGGGTGCAGGTACATCCTGATGAGTCTCAAATAGGACGGAACGCGCGTCCTGGATTCTTCTGCTAGCCACAACCAAACAAATTATTATAATTAACATTCAGGCAATATCGAGGCATCTGCATAGCAGTCTATACGCCAATAGAGGTCGAAAAATTTGATCCAATAAAAAACAACGGAGAATTACAAGTATATCAATAAAACAAAAAACAGTTATTACCTTGTTATCACAGATTGAGCACAATTGAGATGATTTATTTATTGAGACTAACTGTTGTGAATTCTCATTCAATTGATTTGTATTCATTTTACTAGTAACACTTGATGATAATGTATATAATGAACGTGAAGCTATTGGAGTAGTTGTAATCACAGTTGAATTGATCTTGCTTACTTCTTCTCCGCGCATATCTGGTGATGAATTCATATTCTGTGTATGACGTTCACACGACATTATATTCATAAATGGAAGGCTATAAGTGCATAATGAAGTTGTTGATATACATGATTTATACTCTGATGACGATTTAACTTTAATAGGATTATATTCTAGTGTAGAATATTGTTGTTTTGGTTGTTGTAACATGAACATATGTTCATTGATTCGGCATAAAAGTAAACTTTCAAGAGAATCAGGTAAACCATATTTCCACAAAGAACGAAGCCGAATAACATGGTGGATATAATCATTATCTGTGCATGGATGATGGCTTATAGGATCATTCTATGAAAATAAAAATAAAGTTAGTATCATTGCTATTAAATATATATGCTATTAATGATGAACAATGGATAACAATGGAATCCAGGATGCGCATCTCATCCTATTTGAGACTCATCAGCTGAATGTACCTGCCTCCCAATGAGTGATGTTGTTCCCATCAGGATTCAGACTCGAGAGCGATCGCTTTAAACACCAGAGAATTATACACTAGACCACCGAGTCACGATAGACACTTCTTGTGTGATGGGTATAACTTTAGTATAACTGTTTGTGTTATACCGTCGTTGATTGGACCGGATTGATCGTTCTCTATTGGCATATAGGCTCCTGTGCGTATGCCTCGACATTACCTGTGTTTTAATTGTAGTAATGATGGGTAACGCTCTGGCGTTTGAATCAATCGCTCTCGAATCTGAATCCTGATGGGAACAACATCACTCATTGGGAGGCAGATGCATTCAGCTGACGAGTCCCAAATAGGATGAGGAACGCATCCCGGATTCAACTGTTAGCCACTATCCATCATTACAACAATTAAAACACAAGTAACAGCGAGGCATTCACACAGGAATCCACATGCCAATAGAGACCGATCAATTCGATCCAATCAACGGCGGTATAATACAAGCAAAAATACTATATACGCTGTTATTGTTAAATGTGTCCGGTTTTTGCCACATTGCAAATATGATAGATAGGATTCGGTTTGCACTTAAGACTAGACAACATGAAATCGGTTGCACTTCCGTGACTAATCAATACATGTAAATCAGTCCAACAGGAAGTCAATCGCCACCCGAATAGCTGTGGTAAAGTCGTTGACTATAACATTGGGTGACGGGGGTTCAAATCTCAGGCGGGACATCAATCCCGTCAAGATTGCAGATACTCCTTGTTAACCAGTGCCAACAAGCACGAAACCTAGGGCTTTCTGTTGATTGCCTTCAACCAGCAGGTATGAATTGAACAGTCTAGTGTTTGGAAGTTTCCAGCTTCTGTAGCGTGCGACGCAGCTTTAAATCCTAAACAAGATGAGTGTCGTTAGAGATTTGAATTTGCCCCCTATATGAACCCCAACAGGAAAGAAAAGTAACTTCAACGCTTACTTCTGACTGACTCTTTACATCTATTACTAGTTAAAGCCCAGAGAGGTGTTATACCACTCATCTTACTGACTACATTGGATAGTTTATCGAGAGACTTATATCAGTACTAGGAAACTGACAGCCAGAACAGTGAGTAGTTAGTTAATAATCTGTATCTTTGGTAATCGTCAACAGCATGATCTTGGGGGAACATTTAACATTATTTGGAATCAGTCAGCTGAATACCTCGGTATTAGAGTTAGTAAAAGTTTCCTTCCACCTGCCAACTCCTTTGGAACTTATAGTAGCCATCTTTCTTAAGATAGCAAACACTGTGTAAGAATGAACTCAACATCACGACGACTAAGTGAGATCTATGAATGATGATACGGCTAGTCACACTTCAACAGTACTAAAAAAGCTTGACAAATGTAACTCAATAACCACTTTTTAAGGTATTACACTAAGCTGCAAGTCAAAGCGTACTAATACAAGCGGTACTACTGGACTCAATGATGGATAAGGGCTAGCAGTGGAATCCAGGATATGCGTTTTGTCCAGTTTGGGACTCATCAGCTGGATATTTTTGCCTCCAACTCAGCAATGTGGTTCCAACTGGGACTCGAACTCGAGGCCGAACACTTCAAACGCTAGAGCGTTATACACTAGACCATCGAGTTGCGATAGCCACTTCTTGGGCGACGAGTGTAGTTTTAATGTTGTTGCTTGTACTACTAGACTATCTGAAAAACACCACATTTGATGATTGATTGTGCTAACAAGCAATGTACTGATTTACTCCGACACATGAATTAAAATTACTTCTTGTCCAGTTTATACGTCTAACCTTTATTTGACTCTGAGTATTATACATTCTAACCTCGCCTGGTTAACTAGATCACTAGCCGATCCTACGCCGGGATAAAAACGGAAAGTTGGGCATAGGGCTAGCAACGATATCTCGGAAAACCAATTCAATCGCTAATAAAACTTCAAGGCACAAAGAAAATATAAAACATAAAATTAAACTTATTCCTCCCTGGAATTGGAGAGGTGAAATGACGCCAGTTGGTGAAAGCCTTTGGGAAGACAATTGGCCGATGTGTCTTCTCTCCCTCAATGAAAGCAGAAATAAAAATGGGGACATGGAATGTCCACACAATGTTTGAAGCTGGCTGGCCGGTAAGGCTGCCCAGATTGCAAAAAAAACATGAGAAGATATAGCATAGACGTGCTAGGAATCTGCGAAAGCAGATGGAGTAGAAGTGGACTCTCTAAATTGTTAAGTGGGGAGTCAACAATCTACTACGATATGGTCACCCAAACGACAACCACGACCACACTGAGTTTTGAAGTGGTTATCATGATGTCCCCAACAGTATCGAAGGCTTCCATGCAGTGGGAACCAATCTCCTCCTCCAGGATCATGACAACAAGATGGATTCAACTAAAAAGGAAGGAAAGTCACAAGCATACAATCCTACGCTATGCACCTTCAAATAATTAACCAGATCAAGAGAAGAAGGAGGAATTGACATCTTCATGTCAGCCATCAGAACAAAACTGGAGACGTTAAGCAACATCCCCGAAGAAACCTGTATGGAAGAAAACTGGAAGTCTTTGAAAGAGATGTGGAAAGAAACCTTCATAAACGTGTTAGGAAGAAGAAACAGGACAAGATGAGGAATGGATCTTGACGGACACATGGAGGCTGATAGGGGAGAGGAAGATGGTGAGGCTGAAAATGAACCAGTGCAGTGCAGTGCAGTGCTCGGATGAACAACGAAAAGAGGGCCTGAATACAACCTATAAAACACTACACTGGACAATGGAGTGAAGAAGAGTGTGCGCAAAGACAAAAGACACTTCTACAACACATTTGCGAGTAAAGCAGAACAGGCTGCTGGTAGGAGAGACAGAGACCTAACAACATTATATATCAAATAACCAGGTTACCATCTGTAATAGAAGAGATCAGCACAGATAAAACCAATAAAAGATGATGAAGGAAATATTATTACAGAAGAAGAGAAACAAAGGAAATGGTGGGCTGATCACTTCAAAAAGCTCTTGGATCGACCACCACCACCACCTGCACTTTATCCATACCACCTGCAGCCACAGAACTACAAGTGAACACAATACCTCCGACGAAAGTCAAAGTCCTGAATGCCATAAAGTTACTGAAATGCGTGAAAGCAGCACGACAACATGGAATCCCGCCAGAAGCATTGAAAGCGGACGCAGAGACAACAGCGGACATGCTCACATCACTATTGCAGAAGGTCTGGAAGGAAGGAGAGGTACCTGGCGATTGGGAGAAGGGCTACCTTGTCAAACTCCCGAAGAAGGGCGACCTAGGTCTTAGCAAAAACCGGCGCGGAATCATGCTCCACGCCCCTCCAGCCCAAGCAAAATATTAAACCGCATTATCCTGGTGAGACTAAAAGAATCGCTGGGTTCAAAACTACGACCCGAGCAGGCTGGCTGAATTCAGGAAGTACAAATCATGTGCGGGCCAAATTGCAACGCTTCGTATCATCATAGAACAGAGAAAACAATGGCAGTCAACTCTCTACCTCAACTTTATCGACTTTGTAAAGGCCTTCGACGGCAACGACCGATAAGTAATTTGGCAACTGCTCCAACACTACGGAATACCACAAACCTTTATCAACCCCATTCAACAGCTATATGAAGACGCAATGGAAAGCTCAGCTCAGTGATGCCTTTAAGTGAAGACAGGAGTAAAACAAGGCTATCTACTATCACCAATGATCTTCCTGATCGCAGTCGACTGGACTGGATCATGCAGCAAACAGTGAGGAGCGAGAAGAGGGGAATACGCTGGACCGGGGAAAAGATTCTAGAAGATTTGAATTTCGTTGATGACTTGTGTCTAATGTCGCACAAACTCGAAGATCTATAGGCAAAAACTAACAGGTTGAGAGAAGAGACAGGGCAGAGAAGACGGGACTACAAGTAAACGTAGAAAAGACAGAAGTGATGATGATACCCAACCAACGCCACCGCCACCTATAACAAGCACCAATCACCATCAACGGGATAAACCTAAAAGAAGTAGCCTCTTTCACCTACCCACATCGGTAGCATCGTTTCAACTATAGGCGGCACAGACCAGGACGTCAAAGCCAGGATCGGAAAGACAGCAAGATAGGCGTTCATTAGCCTGAAACCAGTGTGGAGATCTTCTGCACTGTACTCAGCATAAAGCGTGAACAGGAACCGGATTTCCAACACCAACGTCAAGTCAGTGCTTCTATATGGTTCAGAGACTTGGTGCGTTACGAAAAGTATTTCCAACAAACATCAGATATTCATCAACAACTGCCTACGCTGGCTCGTTACTGAGGCTCAGATGGCCAGAATAATAAGAATAAGCAACAAGGAACTCTGGCAACGAACCAACCAAGAACCTATCGCTCAACAAATATGCAGAAGGAAGTGGAGTTGGATTGGACTGGGCATGCACTGAGAAGACCATTTGGGGACGTAACGCGTCAGGCCCTCGAGTGGAACCCAGATGGGAAACGACGAGCTGGGCGTCTGAGGGTGACATGGAGGAGATCGTGTGAGGAAAAAATGAAAGCTTCTGGGCAGTCATGGAGTCAGGCTCAAAAGATTTCAAAGAACAGAGTGCACTGGAGACGTGCTACTGAAGCCGCATGTTCTACTAGGAACCCAAGCGACAAATAATACATTAATAATAATGCTGTTGTAGTCAGTGACGTCAGCAGCGAGCTATTCGGGTCACGATTCATATAATATAGGACTGGGTTACATATATTGATTGGTCACTGGAGAGCAACCAACTTCATGTTATTTTGTCCTGAGTGCTGAATGAATTTCACTGGTCAATTTGCAATGGGTCCACCAATCTAGGTTTATAATCGCGGTACACTTTGATGAATGCCAATTAGTTGGAGGTTATCGATAGGAATTAGATAATTATCACCTCTCTAAAGGAGATAACAGAAAGATGATGCTTTGTAAGGAAGCCATTTACACGTAAATACAAGTAATTTTGATTCCGTCATGCATTGAAGATGACGACACCAACTAAATTGGATTACCTCAAAGACTGACAGGAGTAACTGGAAAACCTGACACAGTAGCCAATCAGTTCAAATTGTTATACATTTAAACAGCCATTGTTTGGAAATTCGACAGAAAGGATATAAACATAAAGACGAAATTAGGTAAACTAATTGATAATGCTACAATAACTGAGTATTCAAATACTGGAAGCGGAGTTAACATAAGATTTGTCTTCACCAAGTGGTCGATTCTAAGCCTTAATGTCATCGGTAATTCTCAGAAAAAAAGTTGAAGAGTTGAAAATCCTTTAGAATGGACTGCTATTGAATCTTTAGCATATTCGTGACCCATACATAACGCCATGACCTGCCGGTTATACGCAACGCATACGATAATTAATATCAACATAAGACCAGGGCATTACTACACAAGTTGCCACATCCCATATCAACACATCAAGTAACAAAGCAGTGAGATGAAATATGAAGAGAAAAAATCTGTCAAAAGCAGTCGGAAGAAGTAAAAGAAATTGAGGAGGAAAGAGAAAATGCTGAGTTAAGTATACCGTTTGAGATGAAGACAAAGTGTACATACATAGCAGCCCCTGACACCGATTCTGGGACATAACACCAAGAGTCTCCAACCACTGGTTTCTGTTGTCACATTGACCGGAACCGCCCAGTCTGCATCTTCCTACATTACTCACTACTTAAGGACTTCATGCAGTTAAATCATGTTTTAGTTTGAACGCCCTGAGCCTTTTTCTAGCCTAAACCTGATTCAGCCAACATTGAGCGACGAGGCGGACAGTGACTAGATATGCATAACACATGTCTCAGCCATCTCAGGCTCATGACCTTATCGATTGACTTAACTCTCTACCCTAAACCCCTACATCTGACCTATGCGTTACTCATATGGCGATACCACGACACACGGCCTATGCCACGAACACAACACACAAGTGGAACAGATAAACCTAAACTACTTCTCCAGTTAGCTGACTTTATCAATCCACGATTAGGAAAGAAAATACTCTTGCAATAACAACAAAGAAATGCAATAAAATAATCATAGATTATCACTCTGCTTACCATATATTCACGAACTAATCTCATATAATAATCAATAATTTTTGTCCACTGATTTGACGGCAATAAACAATAAGCAAAATCCCGACACTTGTAATCACAACAGATTGTAAACTTTTTATTGAAAAAAAAGTAATCGACTTTATCATTCGATTTTGAACCAAAACGCTTCTTGGCTAAATCAGGAAAGCTTAAATCACACTCAGATGACAAGTCCCGCATATCATTGCTATTATTATTATTATTACTTTTATTACTGTGACTGGTGATATTAGTGATGGTGGTGGTAGTAGCAGTAGTAGTGTCGGTAGCCATCTTTTGATGCTGGTGACAATGTGAATGTGTAAACTTCAAAGAATTGCCATGCTTGTCGTAAAGACTTGGTGATTCAGGGTGCTTTGAAACACCAGATGAAATATTTGTCAGATTATGGGATTGATCAAATCTATGCGATAATAAAAACTCCCAACAAGTACATTCTGATTGAAATGACTGAAGACCATTACTCTTACTACTAGTAGTCTTCATTAAATGTAGTTTCTGATGATGTACAGCGTGTTTTTGAATAAACATCATCTAAAAAATTTAAAGAGCAAAATATGTTTACAATTATCAATTGAATATTGAACAAGGATATTGTTTAAGGTTGCAAGAGAGTTATGTGAACATATGAAACGGAATAAGATGGAGGTTGCGCTATATCTTGAATTGACAGAAGTAGAAATGTGGACCATTGGACTGTGACACAGTGGTTCAATGGCATGTTCTGGCTGCGGAACCTGAAGGTTTTGGGTTCGACCTCTGGTGGAGTCATGAGTACGCACTCCTGAGGACGAAACACCTGTCCAGTGCTCCCAGGTTTCCAATTTTTCTCCAACTTATATCAGTCCATGATGAATACCAACTTTAAACTGTAAATGGTTGAAATCAAATCTGAAATATTCCAGATACTGACGTTTTCTTTTATAATCATTAACTTTGCTCAAAAGGAATTAACTCAAGACAACCAGTGTTCAGTATTTACTTCAATTACTAATTAAGTAATAATGGGCAATAATTAACAGTTCTCTTCAAAAGGTTGTTTTATGATGATTGAGAAGTTAAACCAGAACTTGAAGCAGAACATGCTGGATCTACAATATGGCTGGCAAACATGCCGATCTAGATCAACATGATACCCAACCATAAATTGTCCACCACAGTTTATTAAAAAAATTCATACGAACATATAAGAAACCATCTAGTCCATTGTTGGTTAGGTATCTTCAAACAGAGAAAAGAAATCATAAAAACAACACGAGTACAAACAATAACGACAACACTGATAGGAAGAAGTTCAAAGCCTCCATTGTATTGCCCTATAAGGAAGGTACATCAAAACTTAGCGTAGGATCCTCAACAAACTTGGAATTAGGGTGTCATTTAAACCTACAAACTCATTCAGAGATAAGCTTTGTAGGCTAGCTTAAGGATCCGATAGATCCAATTCAGCAAAATAATCTAATCTATCGAATTCCATGTAATGACCGCAGGATCAAGTACATAGGTCAAACTAGCCGGTTGTGGTCAGTTACATTAGGGGAATATAGGAATTTAGCTAACTATGGAATGACAGACTCAAATAAGATCAATAATCTGGAGGGGAACTAGGCTATTGCAATTCATGCATTAACACACAACCATACAATAGGGTGGGTGGGATAAAATCACTGTACTTAAGGTCCAATATAATTAGGTGGAGAGAAAGATTGATTACTGAATCTTTGTTCATCGAATCAACACTCAACACGTAATAGAAATGACGTAACAACTATTATCAGAGATATTGAAAATTTTACTACCAATAAAACCAAAGAATAAGAGGTGACAGGACTATAAAAGTTGGTTGTCGAAAGGAGTGTCATTACATTGATATGATAATGAGCAACAACATCAAGTAAATAAAACTGTATCACTGTATGTTATGTATCAAATAAACAAATCTAATATGGAATTGCATTCGACCATAGTCCCTAAGTTTTACACTTATATTAAGCACCGTAAAACAATGTCTACCGTTCAGAAATTTTCCAACTTAGTTTCCTTCTAATACTAAACAGTTTTCATTGAGCCTAAAATGTACACATTGACACTTTATCCACTTAGTTCAATGAATACTCTACATGATGATTTCAGTCGAATAACAGTAGATGACAAATAATGCTTCGAATAAGAAAGTTAGATTAACTGATTTAGTTATGAGGACTTAAGTTGTGAAAGGAAGTAGTGCACATAACCAATTATGAAACGACATCAATGTGTTAATTGGTAACTCATCCACTCAGTACACTTATGAAATTGTGAAAGAAGGTTATATTTCATTGTATATTTGCTTATTGTATCTTCATGTACAAGCTTATTGTTATACCATACACAACAACATAACTACCATTCCAATGCTCTTCTAGAGTGAATTTCAAATGTGTACTTAAAATTTAGTCAGATACTGAATACTCATTCAGTTTGATTATTCATATGCAATTATTTGTAAATTTTCTTCCTTATCTCACAAATATATAAGCAACTTTGCATCCGAAATCTGGTATTGCCACTGCATCTCATTCTGAGTGTTTAAAGGTTTATGTCATGTTACAAGTTGTTGATCAAGAGCTTAAACTCCTTCCAAACATTGGTATTCTTTGATAAAAAAAACTTTCCACCTCAGGATAGTCCCATTCATGATGGTGAGAATAATAAATGGTGTCCTTTGTATACATGCTGACTTTCCAAACGGCTTAGACACCACATTAGAATTACCACTGCCACCCTAACCAAGACTTATTATAGCATAATTTCTTGATGATTGCAGAATAAGCAAGTCTTTCAAAATATTCCTCACATATATTTCTTGGAAAATAATTTAACTTCATCTATGTAGTTGGTGACCACCAGTTTGGGCTGAAATCTGAGGCACCTCTGTAGTACTGAATGCTTTTGAAAGGCTGAAAAGTAGGCTTTGTTTCTGTATATTTGTTCAACTATTCGAATCACAACAATGAGAACTGATAGCTTGATTTAGAATCAGTCTAATAAAGTATTTCCCTATAAAGTTATTGAAGGTAGACTTTTAAGAAAGTTCTGGTGCCACACCGATTCTATGAATTGGACATGATTCAGATTCAACAGCACAACACACATAAACAAGTGCAAAACTAACCAATCCCTAAAGATTAACAATTAAGAAAAAAATAAAAAGCGGAAAAGAAATGAACATGTCTATCGTCGCTTCGAACTTATAATGAACAGGATAATAAAGGCATATGCATATATAGTCCTTGGTTAGATGATCTTATGGATTTGTCATTTATCGAAAGTTTATATGCAGCTGGATTTAGAATTCTGAGGATTTTTAAATTACTCAAAAAGGCATGATTGAAAATATTCAATTTTCTAGTATTTTCGAGTCGAATTTTTTTTTTTAGAAAACAGGAGTATTTCACGAAATTTAAATTACTAAACCTTTATATGAACTAGACTTAAAAATGAATGCAAGATTAAGCAAGGAATTTACTAGACTAAAAACATCTCCCGGTATCCAACATGTTGCTGTATAAGCTTAATATAGTGTACTCTAGATTAAAAATATTACAACATATAGAGAGATTTTATGAACTTCAAGAACCAAATCTGAATACATAGAGTTGAATAAATTGAGCACTGGGTAAATAATAATAATAAACGCTTTGTTCCAAACAATATGTATGACAGTGTAGAATTCTTAGCATATCATTCTTCAAGAAATTCATCCCCAGAACAATACATTCAGAGGAAATGGTTATTGCATCTGAATAGTTTTAATAATAACAGTATTCAAGGCAATAATATGAAATAACCAGCTGGTTCTAGATGAGCATTAGTTCCATAAAGAAGAATCGACAGAAATCCAAGCGTAATTTTAGTGGTGGTGGTGGTTCATTTAGACGGTACAAAAATCTGCAACTCAAACTAAGCATCTGATGGATAGAAATATATATGTACTTTTGTGCACCAAAAAGTCCATTTCCATATAACGTAACACTTTTTTTCTCTGCTTTGTTATTAAATCGAGAAACGAGAAACAGTTTAAAAATGTGACAGAGTTCATAATACATTCAAACGACATATTTGTATGATGAAAACAAATTGAAAGGGAAGAATTTAATGAAAAATGTTCAGTGGATAAATTTAGTAGCTCAATATTCAAGCAGACCACCAAGTTACTCATTTCATAAACTGTTTCTTCGAAATAATGACTAATAACGTCAGTCATGCTAAATAAAGGTTTACATGGCAACATGCCGGATACCGGCAGTACACTAACAATTAACACTAATGAATTATTAAAAAAAGGTTTAATTATAATTTATCAACTATGCATTTTTATTTTAGATCTTGTTGTAAATTGAATCAATAATTTGATTAAGAATATCCTATGGTTTGTCAAATTATTGACGGATTGTATTTCAGTCATGACAATTTCCAAAAGTGAATCGTAAAGTAGAATAGAAGGTTGAGAAATTGACTGATGACTTATCTTTTGAGGGGGTTGTGGAGATTTGGAAATATTTCAAGTTGTTATTCATCGAAGACTGACATCAGTTGGAGGAACAAAGGAAACCTAGGAGCACTGGACAGCTGTTTCGTCCTAGTATGGGACTCCTCAGCAGTGCGCACCCACGACCCCACTGCATAAAAATTCATTCCATGATAGTACGACTAGATACCGTGTATATTATAGTAGTAAACAGCTAAGAGTGAGAGCAAAGGTCACTACGCAAACGAAACGGGTACATATGTCTCTCCTGTGTGTCTGTCTGTCTGTCTGTCTGTCTGTCTGTCTGTCTGTCTGTCTGTCTGTCTGTCTGTCTGTCTGTCTGTCTGTCTGTCTGTCTGTCTGTCTGTCTGTGTATTACAACATCTACCTAACGAGATAACCGGGGATAAGCACTACGGCTTTATCCGCTAAAAATTAGTTCTCTAACACAAACGTTTCAAACGTTTCAAATAAAAGTTATTATTTGTTGATACTTGTAATTCTCTGTTGTTATGTTGTTACAACAATAAATATTCAACCAATATCAAGGCATTTACATAAAAGCTTATCTGCTAATAGAGGTTGATCAGTTCGATGCAGCATAGTAACGGAGAATTACAAGTATACCAACAAATAGTAACAACTAGTACCCGTTGTACAAGAAGTTGCTTAGGGGATAACGCTCTGGCATTTGAAGCAAACAGGCTTGATTCTGACTCCTAGTAGGAACAACACCGCTCATTGGGAGACACGTACATCCAGCCGATGAGTCTCAAATAGGACGAAACGTGCATCTTGGATTCCACTGCTGACCGCAACCAAGTTAACTGGAATGATAAAAAGCAATTTATATATTCGTTACTCAATTATGAATTGCTAACTTGGTCAAAAACCGCTATCCTTCATAACTAGAAAGCTCAGACCTATAACGATACACACAGTAGAACCATTCAGCACAATAACCGAATTTCTTTGAATTGTAATGAAACCATCGATAGCAGAATCTAGATTAGAATGTTTTATT